GGACACTCTTGTGGGACACTCTTGTAGGAAACTCTTGTGGGACACTCTTCTAGGACACTCTTGTGGGACACTCTTTTAGGACACTCTTGTGGAACACTCTTCTGGGACACTCTTGTAGGACCACTCTCGTGGGACACTCTTGTGGGACACTCTTGTAGACACTCTTGTAGGACACTCTTCGGACACTCCTTGTGGGACACTCTCATAGGACACTCTTGTGGGTCACTCTTATGGGACACTCTTGTTGGACGTTCTTGTGGGACACTCTTATAGGACACTCACTCTTATGGGACCCTCTTGTCGGACATTCTTGTGGGGCACTCTTAGGAGACACTCTTGCAGGACACTCTTGTGGGGCACTCTCGTGGGACACTCTTGTGGGACACTCTTGTAGGACATTCTTGTAGGACACTCTTGTGGGACACTCTTGTGGGACACTCTTGTGGGACACTCTGGTGTGACACTCTTGTAGGAAACTCTTGTGGGACACTCTTGTAGGACACTCTTGTGCGACACTCTTGTAGGACACCCTTGTGGGACACTCTTGTAGGACACTCTTGCGGGACACTCTTATAGGACACTCTTGTGGGACATTTTTGTGGGACACTCTTGTAGGACACTTTCGTAGGACACTCTTGTGGGACACTCTTGTGGGACACTCTTGTGGGACACTCTTGTGGGACACTCTTGTAGGACACTCTTGTAGGACACTCTTGTGGGACACTCTTGTGGGACACTCTTGCAGGAAACTCTTGTGGGACACTCTTGTAGGACACTCTTGTGGGGCACTCTTATAGGACACTCTTGTGGGACGACACTCTTCGTACGAGACGTCCTCCAAAAGTCACGCTTCGAGGCTGCAAGACGAGCGTTTCGTACGAGACTTCCTCCAAAAGTCACGCGTCAAGTCTCCAAAACGAGCGCTTCCCCCAAAAGTCACACGTCAAGCCTCCAAAACGAGCGTTTTTCGTACGAGACTTCCTCCAAAAGTCACGTGTCAAGTCTCCAAAACGAGCGTTTCGTACGAGACTTCCTCCAAAACTCACATGTCAAAGTCTGCAAAACGAGCATTTCGTAGGAGACTTCCTCCAAAAGTCAAGCGGAAACACCCATCGCGGAGCACACACATCACGCAGCCCTGCCAAGCAGTTTCGCGATTCCAACCCCTCCAAACAACATCCGCTCACACGCCAATCCCAATGTGACAGCGACATTCACCTCTACCACAACTCACCACCTCACGATTCCCTGCGCCTGCCACGAATCTTTCCGCGTCCACATGTCTAACGCGCACAAAGTACTGCGCCTGCCACGAAATGTCACCTCCGTCACACCTCGCAACCTCACGATTCCCTGCGCCTGCCACGAGAATCGCACTTCCACGCCTCAAAACCCGCACAAAGTCCTGCGCCTGCCACGAAAAGTTACAATATCATCTCATGTGAGCTTGAACAAAATTTGCACCACACCACACGTTTGGAATGATTTCGACCCGTTCTGAGCACACTCCCATCCACCAAAATCGCCATTTCAGCTGAGACTTGTCACGAAAACCGAGCTTCGATGCCACACCCTGAAACGCAAATCCCAATGGCACTGCCACATCCAACACCCCAAAAACACGACTCTCCAAACGCTAATCCCGATGGAACTGCGCAGCAATCTGCGGATCTCACAAAACGCTTCGCCTGTGCAGCGAAATGCATCACGCTCTTACGCGACATGTCATTTTCATGCAAATCACAATGGAATAGCGTCGCAAACTGACACGTGACACATCCATGAAAAGTCACTTGCAAAAGCTTCCCCCAATGGCAGCGCCTTAGCGCTCTACTGCGAACGGTTGCGAACGGTTGCGAACGGTTGCGAAGGGTTGCGGACGGTTGCGAACATAGAAACAACGGTTCGCGAACAAGGCTCTACCCCCAGACCCCCAAGAGTTAAACGAGAACCTTTCGCTACGCATTCGGGAAAAGCTGAACTCCGGATTTGAGATGGACATGAACAAACAATGAATAGAGGTGAGATCAAATGCAGAATTGAACCTTCACCTGTTTACAATTTTACAATATGCCACAAAGAGTCAACTCTGGAGTTAAGCCAGAAGGTACCTGTCTCAACCGTGTTTGTATAAAGGCTTGAATCTGGAGTTGACTCTTTGGTAACTCTTGTTTCCAGCTTGATTCGGCAACTTGAGACAATGCGGTCAGCCGCTCCTTCACACTGAACCATTTGGGATGTTCGTGTGTTCGACTAAATTTCGACTGCTTGGTGCGGTCCATTGATGCCTGCAAGTCCGGTGTTGATTGATCTTGCAATAGAGCCTCGTGTGACAAGGATGAGGAACGATTGGGTTGAGGTGCTGCCAGCTTGACAGCTTGGGCAGGCTGTTTTTCCTACTGGAACTAGTGTCACTTGTTTGCAAGCACAGCAACCAATTGTCCCCTTAATGGCTGGGGATGATGCTTTCAATGGTACAAAGGTCACCTGGAGCCAAAATCCCATGTAGGTCCACATGTGATTGCACAACCAGAAAGAAGCCGCACAATTTGGGGGGTCACTCCTGAGAATCCCTAATGGGTGTGGTCTTGTCGTGTGCTCAGTGCATCAACTCCTCTTTTGCCCAAGCTTGCAGCGTCTGGGGCTCCCAGCCAGCACAGCTCTTGCATCTTCACTGCGTAGAGCCTGGGATTGAGGTCACTCACACCTGCTTATACCTCTGCATACTACAAGTAAGTGTAACCACCAGAAATTGCCTTACAGTATCTTACAGTAATGGGTTTGGTCCAAATCTGTGCTGTTTAAGGTCGCATGCAAATCCCTTGAGCACTAGAAAAACTCTGCCAATTCTTTTGCCTAAGCAGGGCAATCCGCACCTTGGCAGTGTCGGCGTGTATCCCTTCTTCAAGAATCTCCAGCAAGGCACTCCTGGAAGCATCGCCGCACAAAATCTATATAGTCGAAAAGTGGGAGACGCTGATGTGTTCTTCGTTGGACTTCATCATGAAAGCCCTTCAGCTCACCTCATGGCTGAAGGCAATTGAGCCCACGAAAATGGCAGCACCTGCCGGCCCCGCTCCGCGAACCGGCGAACCTGCGAACCTGCTGCCTCTAGGGGTGTTGCTCTGACTCTTAAGTTGTCTGTCTCTAGGTGTGGAAGACCGACTCTGGTGCCACAAAGTGGACCGACGAGAAGCGAGACTGCTGAGAAAACGACTCGTTGAGCAGACCGATCTCTGTGAGAAAAGGGGCAAAGGGGCGCTTTGAACATGAGGTTCTTGTTTTGCAGGCAGCCAGCTACAGTTCAGACACAGGCCTCCGGTATCTCCGAGAACTTCAAGTATTTCAGCAGCAAGGACCCACAAATGGCCCTAGCCTTGGGGTGGCCTGGCGCACAATCCGGATACATCTCGGAAGACTCACAAACCTGCGTTTGATGAATTTGAGCACTTTGCAAAGGCGGAGGCCATTTGAACTAAGTCTCTGAGGGTTGTGAGCCAATCTTGCAGGCTTTCGCACCACATAACTTTAGCTTAAGCTAAAGCCCTCGCAATCGATTCCACCGAGTACTCTGCCAACTTCGTCTCCAAGCCACCTGCGAACTTCCCCAAGATTGTGCTGAGCCGTGGCAGCCTTCCAGCAACAGGCATGAGGTTCCACACTGCCTATACGAGGTCCACCCCACAAGGTACGAAGAACCACCAGCTTCCCGGAACCTCCCAGCCGGACAGTCCACTCTCTGAGCCCGGGCGGAGGACTTCACAGACCCATCTGCACCTGCACCTGTTCCTCTCCTTCAACGACTGGGGACGTCATCGTCATCTCCATTTATTAGGCACCCCGGCGCTGGGGTGAACCCACCGCGCGCCGCTGCAGCGGCCAGCTCGGCTAGGCCACTGTCCGCGGACAGCTCACAAAGGACCACCTATTGCTCCGCGCGGCCCGATTTCTTTAGCCAATGCTTTCACGGGGCGTCGAAAGCCACAGGCGTTTCAGGCCTTCATTTATGGCATATTGATAGTATCTGTGGGCCCATGCATCAAAGGCCCAAAGGAAAGCTGGATGTAGATTTGAGGTGGTCACGCTATGGTTGAGATTACCCTCGTTATGGCCCTTGAAAGCAGGTCTTCTGCACTTCTGCACATGCATGTTCAAAAATGACAGACTCAGCACGTCAGCTTGACAGACTCAGGCGCCCCAGCATCCGAAGCTTTCAACACCTTTCCCTGCGCCGCAGCTATGTTTATCCAGTGCTTCGATAGCTGCATCCACTGGCATATAGACTGGTTCAGTTTTTTTTTGACTTGACCTTTAAATGATTTCTCACATGAACAAGGCAATGAACAAGGCAACTCTACACTGTTGCCTTCAATCGGTATCGTGAAGTTTCCTGTCAAAACAAACACTTTAAAGATGATTAAAAATGAAAATGGATTCTTGCGGCCCACAGGGTGTTTTGGGAAAAAAAATCAAACCCCTTGTCATTCAGGAACTGAACATCTCAGCCCACTCCTGAAATTCGCCCAGCGCTTGGGCTAGAGACTCTGAAGAATGCTCTCTCTGATCAAGCCTGGTTTTTCGCATCACATGTTTTTGAATGCAGGAAACCGGCTGGTTGAGAGAGCTGCAAACACATTTGGAGACCAGTTGGTGAGGTAGCAACGATGTAAAGACTAGACCATGAACAAAACCATGTGAAAACATGTCCTACCTTTGATTTCCCCACCAAAACTGTTCGTTGCCCACCATTCGATAGATCCTTCAATGGCGGAAGGCAGAAACCTTCTTTCAACATGTTTCAACACCACCTAGATTCTTGAGCTTTGATGAGCTTTGAGAGTCTTCCAGCTGATTGAACACAAGGTACCCAAATCTCTTGTCAGAATCACAAAAATTTGAAGGGACAAGATTGAGGGCATATGCAACGCTCGCTCCGCATGAACCTCCGCCCACCAGACCAAGCTACCGAACAAAAATTTCACCCCATGTGCCATCCCAGCTGAGGGGCAGTAGCCGCAAGGTGACGCCACCAGGCAAGAGTGGGTTAGGGGAAGATGCACGGCTGCTGCGGCCTGGCATGGGGAGGGAACAGGCCTGAGGCAGCCTTGAGGTTCTTCATGTTACGCGGATGCAGTCGTGGACCTTTGCTTTGGCCCTCGTTGAAACATACGACATCAACTCAACTTCCTGCATTACGGCGTCCGAGTTTTGCATTTCGGTGTGTGTGAACACCTTGGATCACAAATCACCTTTTGGTGTTTGTTGATTTTTTGATATTTTTTGTGTAGTTACAACGGGACAACCCCATGGATGCAGTTGCTGTCCAACGAAGAGGCCTTCATTCCATGGCTGATATCATCTTGAGACGCTGCGATCACGTAACTGCAGTCCATTTGTGGCGTTGAGTAACCACTTCCCACTCTAAAGCTCAGGCTGGTGTTCGGAACTTTTTTGAACTTTGATGGTCAGACCACCTTTCATACTCCCTGGTTTCCTAGGTTTTTGCTGAGGCTTGCGGGTGGCAAACCGCAGCACGCATTTGCCGAGTGTGTCTCTCCTCGTGAGAGCCCGGAGTGAGCCCGAAGAGTGCCCTCTGTGGCCTTGCCTAGCAAGGGTTTGTCTCATTCTCCTGTCCGTGGCCGGAGAGCAGAGCAGCTCCCAGCGAGCGTAGGAGCCTTACGGTATAGGTTGGCACAACATGGATGGAGCTTGAGCAGGCCTTCTGCCAAGAGTAGCCTGCAGCGGACCAGAGCAGCCCGCGATTTTGGCGGCAAAAGTGGACCACACCAGTCGCAGTCTTTTCGGTCCGTTGGGACCGGTCCCCACCTCAGGCGCGCACACAGCACCTACACAAACGAAGCAACGTTCACCTAGGTTCGTTTTAATGAGGTCTGGCTTCGTTCTTTTTCGGACCCTTCATTTGGCTTCCCCTTTCATCTTTTTCAAGCTTACCTACACCCTCTTTTCCTCTTTCTTTTCATGCCTTTTCTGCCTTCATGTCTGGTCATCTCATCCTTTTTCTCTTTTCCGCACACATTGGCCGGGCCCTTCGTTGGCGTACTCGTGCACTCGCACACGCAAACCAGGTTTTAGGCCACCCAAGTTGTTGCGGTCTAGGGAGGTTTGGCTCATCGGCTAACCCTGTGCACTTTGGGTTTCTTTTCATCGCAACCACATACCTTTGTCTTCTTGTTTTGTCTTGTCTTGTCTTCTCCTCTTCTCGTGTCTTGTCCTTTTCATCCCGGCTGCGGGCACACGCACACTTACGCCGGAGCCCTGTTGTTTCCCCCCCTGGTGGGGGGCGTGTGCGCAAACACTTTGATCTTTTTTGTAACTGCAGGACAAGCCCATGGATCCGTTTGTGGCGCTGAGGCGTTGAGTCACCACTTCCCACTCTAAAGCTCAGGCTGGTAGGCTGGTGAGGTTTCCAAAGGTCTGCAGATGCGCATTAAGAAGGACTAACGCACTCGCCGCTCGGAGCTTGATTGAACTTTGATGGTCAGACCACCTTTCATACTCCCTGGCTTCTTACGTTTTTTGCTGAGGCTAGCGGGTGGCAAACCCATCAGTTCAGCGCGCATTTCCCGTGTGTGTGTGTGTGTAACCCTTGGAATCACAGGGGCCCATTTGGATTGTCTCTTTGAAGGTTTTTTCCCATGTAAGTTGCAGGGGAGTGCGGCATGATTGCGGGACCGCACTCAACGAAGCTACCACAATCATGGGATACCGAGTCTGATCACCTCGGCGTACCTGCAGTTTTACCAGAGCAAATTCCTTGTGGGCCCTGCAACTAGAACAAGATTTCCAGCCATTGCACCTGTTTGCATCGGCAGTCGCGCACTTGATCTTGCTTTTGAGCTTGCACGTGAGGGCAATCATTTGGTGTGTTGTTTACCTAGACCCTTAGGTTTTTCACTTAGGCTGCCGTGCGGCGAGCGGCTCTGGCTTCATGCCAGCCCAGGGTGAGCCCGCAGAGTGCCCCCTGTGGACCCGTCGAACGGGGGTACGTCGAACGTATCCCTTGCCCGGATACAAAGCAGCTCGCAGCGAGCGTAGTAGGCTTATGCCACAGTCATTTGCCAAGACCTGCCGGATTATTGAATTCCAAGGTGGCTTTATGCCTTTACGTGACCGCAGCGGTCTAAGCAGCCAGCCAATTTGGCACGGCGTACGTGGCCGCAGCGGCCGAAGCTTGTTCAAGGTTCACTGGAACCTGTCGAGACCTTGGGCGCACATACAGCGTGTACATTCAAACGAGGCAGGTTTTCCTAGGTCGTTATAATGAGGTTTGGTTTCGTCGGTTCCCGTCCCCTCCATTTGGTTCACCTTTTCATCCTTTTCCCCTTTACGCACTTCTTTTCTCTTCTTTTCTTTCATGTCTTCCCTTGCTTCATGTCCTGTCATCTCATCTCTTTCCTTCTTTTGCGTGCACACTGCCCGGCCCTGAGTTTGTACGTGCACAACCTACTTTCAAATCGGGTTTCCCGTCGCCCAGGTCTTTACAATGAGGTGGGCTGTCATTGGTTGTTCCTGTGCGCTTGGTTCCTTTTCATTGCAACCACCTACACCTTTGTCCCGTCTTGTCTCCTTTTCATGTCTTCATCCTTTTGTCTTTGCTGCGCGCATACTTTCACAACCGTCCTAGCCTCGGGGGGGCGTGCGTAGCCCTTGGAATCACAGGGATCCATTTGGATTGTCCCTTTGAAGGTTTTTTCCAATGTAAGTTGCAGGGGAGTGCGGCATGATTGCGGGACCGCACTCAACGAAGCTACCACAATCATGGGATACCGAGTCTGATCAACTCGGCGTACCTGCAGTTTTACCAGAGCAAATTCCTCGTGGGCCCTGTAACTAGAACAAGATTTCCAGCCATTGCACCTGTTTGCATCGGCCCAGTCACGCACTTGATCTTGCTTTTGAGCTTGCAGTTTGAACTTGGAGGTGAGGGCAGTCATTCGGTGTGTTGTTTACCTGGACCCTTAGGCTTTTCACTTAGGCTGGCGTGTGGCAAACCGCAACCAAATCAGTACGCATTTCTATCAGTGTGTGTAAAAGCGTGAAGCATGCAATGACACTTGCAAGAAGAAACGTTTGAACAGCTTGCCAGTCTCACAAGGCTTGTGACATCAATGAAATGTCTGTGGTCGTTGCGGTGTCCTCCTATTGAACAATCTACTGTTACTGTCACTGGTCCGCCCGATCCTGGCCTGAGGGAGGCGAATAACCTCCTGCTACCGCAGCACCAGCAGACTGGAGCCTGCCATAAGAGATCCCCCTGACACCCAAAATGCCTTGTCACTAGAACTTTCTGCCTAGATCGCACACGACCCATATCTATGCAAACACCAAAGATGCGAACGGATGGAAAGGTGTGCCCTGGCCCCGTTCTAGCCCTTAGTTCAACATGAAGCTCGCGCGCTAAAGCTCCTTTTTACCTGGTTGGGCACTTGAGCCAAAAGTATATGGCATGTACCTGTATAGCGACTATACTGGGACCTCATCCCTATTGACACCCCCCACATCCGTACTTCGACGGGGAAGGGAGATGAGTGGATGTAAAAAACCGGAGAACAAATCATGTTCTCAGAAGTGTATTGGAGGTCAACCAGTATGTCCTATTGAGCTGAATTAGCAAACGATCTTGCTTTCGTTTGAAAGTTGGATCAAACAGGTAATGGAGCTACAAACGGAAAACGTGCATCTACCTATGGTATCATGCGATTACCAACGGTGTGAAACACAATCCTCTCTCACTCCCATGATGCCAAAACGGTCATCATGAATTACCCAAGATCCCTCAGTACTTGAAGTACCGGAAGTAGTATGTCGGTATGACCCCAATGCTCAACCATTCGTGAGTTGTCGCATGTAGTCAGCTCCGACAAAGCCAATGTAGTCCTTGATGAGCTCAACGTTCCTTGGGTTTCCCCTTCGGATCTGCTCCTCGAAGAACTTCAACTTCTGTGCTTGAATATCGGATACCTCTATGCCATAGTAGCGGCACGCAACGAGGATCTCCTTTGTGACATTCTTCCGCTCCGATTTGATGGCGGGACTAATGTCAATGAATTTGTATGGAGCGGCACTTTCGTCGTCTGGTTTCTGGTAGTAACTATATCGGCTCGCTCCGAAAGTCTTCCTGATCAAGCGTCTGATGAAATTTGAGATGAATGCCAGTTTCTCGATGATCTCTTCCTGGGTCTCAGACCTTCGAGCCTTTGGATCACTCATGTTACGCCGAGTGCTGCCGACCTCTTTGAGGTACTTGTGGCTAAGCCCGCAGCGGATTGCAGTGATCATCATCGGGTGAACAACGTGGGCGTGGAATTCATAGATCTGCCACGCTTCTGTTGCATACACGTCGTTGGTCCATTTGCTCATGCCTACGACCTCGGCTCTCTGAAGACGTCTTGGAAACCCAGTATCCGGATCATGCGGTACTATTGGCCATCTATTGTATGGAGTATCATGCCGCTGTCCATCGTCGAACTTTCGCAGTACGTCATCACGACTCTCAAAGCAGTTGATGTCGAACGTTGCGTTGGCCAAGCTCTTGATCAACTTCATCAACCTCAGATCAAATTGCTGTGTGACTGCAAAGTTGTGGTCGATGGGGATCGCAGCTTCTTGCGGCAATTCGTCAATCGCGAAGGGGAAAGGCTGTGGAAGTTCATTCCCGTATCCATCTTGAGGGATCTCCCGATATTCGGGTTCGCCTTCAGCTTCGTCCGGTCGTTCCTTCAAAATGATAGGAACTTCCTCCTCTTCCTCTCCTTCGGATTCCTCGACCTCAATGACCTCTTCGGCTGTCTTGCGCGCGTTCTTGATGACTTCATCGATGTTCGCACCCGCAGCAGAAGTTGCTTCACCGGAAGAACTGGCTGGGACATCTCTCGGAGGTGATCGTTGATTGCGGTCCCTTGTCTCCTTGGGTACCACATGCGTGAGCTTCCCATTCGCGATCAAAACCGCTACGCAGTGCGGACATATCGTCAATCGCACATCGACTTCGCCAAGACAGTTAGGACACGGTCTTGAGTCGTAGTCTTTCATTGCTCGGCGGTATACGATCTCCTCAAAGATTTCCTGCCACTCGGTGCTATCATATTCTGGGTAGACACCACTCTCCTCGATCATGCCCAACAGCTTTGAGATTTTGGCGTCGTCCTCGGAATAGGTATCGTCCTGAACCTCAACCGCTAAACTCTCAAGCTTTTGATAACGTGGAATCATGATCGGGTTTCCGTATTTGGACTCCAGAACAAGGTAGCTTCCAGGGTCGGGTTCCCTATTGAGTAACCTGACCCATTCGATCTCCTCAGGCTGTCCGGGTTCCGCATTGTCGCATTGCAACCATGCCCCTTTAACCTCATCGAAGGGAACGACGTCCTCAACCAATAGAGATCCAGTCGCTGAGATGAGAAGTCCGTACTCCTGCAGCTTCCACGCCGGAATGTAGAGAACCACTGGGCGATCACTCAATGCGACCTTACGACCCAGCCAAGGTTTTCCCTTGTAGCCCTGCTCCCAGGCCCATGGCGGAAAACATGTGAAGTGGATAGAATCCCTTCCCGATGAACCGAAACCTCCTGGCACTAGCCCCCGTCGCATGATTGAAGTCAGCGCTCCAAGATTGGTAGCGTGAAATGCAGTCACCATGGATAGGGCCATGTCGTTGGTCATTCTCGATCCAATGTGGTCGATGTTGATGGTAACGTCATAACCTCCGCCGTCCGTTGAGTGTGCTGAGGTTGCTCTTACGGCCACGGGAAAGCACCATCCATCGCTATGGTGGAGTCTTCCTTTGGAGATTCCCATGCCCTTGAGCTCGTCAATCCATTCCTTCTCCATCGGGTCATCAGGGTCATTGAGTTCATCAGGGTGAACGCGGACCGCCAACATTTGGAATCTGATCCTCTTGGTTATGCGGAAACACTCATAGTTCTGGTCAAAGTACTTCTCCAAACGCGCCTTCTTGGTCACGATGTCTATGTTGCCATAGTGATAACCGTCTTCCCAAGCTGCGTTATCACCTAACAGGTCTTCCCATGACACCCATGCGCCTTCATCGCATTTGATTGGTGTGAGTCTTCCTCCTGTCCTGAACTGGCGTCCAATTCGATGCCTCAACTTCGCTCCCAATCGACGACTCAGGGCTTGGCTCGCTTGGCTGTATTCAGGTACTCGACAGTCTGGAGTCGGATACTTGTGATTGCCGTAGTCGGAGTTCTGTGCAGCGAAAGTGACTCCGTTGATCGGTACTAGCTCAACTTTCCCGACCATTGTTATGGGGTCGATCGGCTTGTATCCCTTCTCCCTCCGTGTCGGTAGGGGATAGAATTGATGACATGCCTTTGGTTTGAGGGAACTGGAGTGCACAAATGCCTTCTCTACAAATTCGTACACCACCTTCATATCCCTAGGGCCTACTTCCGCAAGCTTCCGCCCATTGTAGGAATGTGTCCCTCCTTCGACTCCATCGGCACTTTCAATCAAGGTAAACCCGTCATGGTCGAACATTGTCACGACTCTTGCTTTCAACATTTCTTTTCGCCTGAACTCGCTGTCGACCTTCCTATCTGGGGTAGGCGATGCTCTCTGCTTCTTCTTCTTAGGCTCCTCGGTTGGATGTCCGGATGGTACATCGTCGGGTGCAACCTCTCCCTTCACTCTCTTCTTCCAATCACTCAACACTGAGGTGACTGTGGGTGAAGATGAAGGGATCTTCTCGCAATTGAGAGTCGTGTGTCCCGACTTCATGCAGTGGGTGCAGAACTCTGCTTGCCCGATCTTCTTCTCGAATTCGTCGATGGCTTGCAGTATTGATGTCTTCGGATCGGACATGTCAACGTCTTGCTCCTCCTTCTCCTGTTCACCTTCAGTCTCCATATCGACACCTTCGGCCTCGGGCTGGTCAGTGGCTTCTGCTCCCTGTTCTGGTTCTTTCCCAATTTCGAAGAAGTGGTCGATGTCGAATTCAGGAGGCGGCATGGTCCTCATGCGAACGAGAATCAGTGCCACGTTTGCCGCCTCATCAGAGTGCGGGTCCAGTGTTCTGATCATCGACCGCTTTCGGTTCTCATACGTTGTCCTGTCGTACAGCGATGCAGTGACGCGCTTGATGGATTCTTCTAATCCCGTCCTCAAAGCCTCAATGTCACCCCATCCCAAGAACAGGTGTCTGAAGAGTTGAGCAATTTCTAACATGCCCAGCAGCGCTTCCACCATATCACCTACCCGTTCCTCAGTGGGATCATCTCCGAACATAGTGCGGAATACATCGGGTTCCAATATGGTCTTGAGGTATTTGGTGTAGCACACGTTTCCAAGGTCATAGGATCCCTGGTAGTACTTGGCGCTGCCGACTATCTGCTTTTCCACATGGATGCTGGGTCCTCTCCTCGTTTTGAAGAAGTTCTCCGTCATTGTTGATGACAACCTGATCCCCCCGAAGAACGAGATCTCCTTCTGGAAACCTGGGTTCCCGTTAAAGATGATCATCGCTTCGTGTAAGAACTTCATCAAGTCTACGTGCGGGTTCATCTCGGAGATCATGACGGTGGGAGAAGATACCGTTTGCCCCATGCCGAAGTTGTGAAGCAATCGAGCACATGCATGAAATCGCTTCTGGACGTAGTCTTCTGCGGACATCCCACGGCATCTATTTGCTGCTCCGTTGATGCATTCTGCATAGCAATCGTCTTTCAAATCGGAGTCTATGGGATTGCAGACCAAACAGTAATCGCAGCAAATCTCCTCACCCTCCTTGAAGTCATCAATGACGTACCACCTTTGAGTCCTCGAGTATATTGGTTCTGGCTGAAGGACTCCCCAGTACTCATCCATCCATGGCATCTTATTCTCCCTCCTTACCTTCTCCCTCTTCCTCCGCTCAGACTCGTTCTCACCTGAAGCTCCCGCAGTGGACTGATATGCATGGCTTCCTCTTACGGAGTCTCCGAACAAGTACTGATACAACCTCTCTTTGTCCTGCAACACGTGTTCCAAGTTGGGATCATGGAGGCTATTCGCTTCGGTCAAGGGATCCGGTGCCATAAAGCAAGAAGCGAGCATCTTCTCTCTGAACAAATACTTTTCCATGACAGCGTGGACCAAAGAGGTTCCAGACTTCATAGAGTAGGGGTGACCGCCTCCGGCGACCGAAATGGCTCGCCAGAATCTGTCCGACGTCGTGGACATCATGCCATTCAGCGACAGCTCGTCCTTGATCATGTTGGCGATTTTACCGAACGAACC